TCAGAACGCCAAACGGGAACCTTGCATGCGGGCGGAAACCAAACAAAAAGCAGCAGGAGAGCAGGCAGAAACCATGTTCAGGTAGAATGTCTTTTGGGGTAAACCAACCGCCATGCTTCCGAAGACCATGGCATCTTTTTCAGCTTCCAACTGCGTCCTTCTATTCGGTTCGAACTCGATTTCCCCGAGGTCCGGTGACCATCGGCGTGTCCGGGGTGGCGGCTCTGCCGGGGATCAACACAGAGCCGAGGCTCATCTTCCCCCGTGTGGGCCCCAGCCATGGCAGCGGCCGAACGCCCTGTCCCGAACCGAACATGGTGCTGAAACACCCAGTTGCCCAGTGGTGCCTTTTTGGTTGGTTTTTCTCTTTTTTTGGGAAGGGTTCCCCTTTAAGCTCAACCAACCAAAAAAGGATGCCGATCTTTTTTCCCATGGCCTCTGGGCATCTGTGAACCAGTTTCGTGCTCAAGCATGTAAACCTTGGCATGTCTCCGTGGCATGTTTCGTGGCACTCAAGTGGGGAGCAGCTGGAACCATGTCCATGGCATCCGCAGGTTGATATTGACCTTGCCCCAAGGAGTGTTTTTGGTTGGATGTTGCTTCGGTAGATACAGGTCAGTGGGGGAGAGACGCGCGGCAAGAAGCCCTTTTTATTCTTGACCATGGGCTTGACCATCAGGTTTTAACTATGGCTCAGACCAGGGCCATTAGGCACTTTCGTCCCTGCGCATTTCGAGAGAACGGCCCTGGGGCGGCCGGGCTGGAGAGTTGTCCGAGAACTCTCGCATGGAACTCAAGCCTGCGTCCATCGATTGCTCGTGTTTCTTGTGCCGTATGTGAAGCGATGGTGGGTGACATCGTGTTGAGCAAGCGGATGCGAGGCCGTTGCAGACCTCGCTCGGTGGAAACAACTTACAACTTCAAGACACGTGGCATATCTTAGAACCATGCACCAATTTTACTGTGTTTGGACGCATCTCAAAACGAACTGTCCTTTTTTAGGAAACAACACACATTTGGAAGCTTCTAGATGTCGGACGCCTGTCTCAGGCTGCAAGAAGCGCCGCCCAGAGGATGGATATGTGGCCATGGCCCCATGGGGGCGCGCTTGTTTTGAGGTTTGTTTTTCCTGGTTGTGTCACGACATTTGTTCAACCGAATCGGGTTTGATGTCCTTTCGGATGGTGTTGCAAGTGCAGTGGCAAAGAAGCCAACCCCGCCTTTTTGTTGGGGAAGAACCATTCAACATGATGGTTTTGAGCATAATGAGGGGTTGACACAAATCGGGCCCTTTCGGGCCCCTGAATGGTTGTGCCTTGTTTTGAGGGTACCCTTTTTGGGGTGGTTTACAGAGAAACCAAAAGGACACCACCTGTTTCGAGACCAACCCAAATAGTGAAGCACAGAGGTTTGATGCTTGCAGCCTCCAAAGCTTGAGTGCCCTATTGAGAACGCGAATAGCCCACCTTCCGCATTTGAAGAGCATTACCAGCATGAAGACATCATACTGTGGATGGCCAAAAACCTGCACCAATTTTGAAACCATGGGAAGCCATTGTTCGTTGGTATTTACAGGGGAATCATCCTTCCAGGGTTTCTTAGGTGGTGCAGGATTTTTTCCAGCCACAGTATCATTGGTTTCGTGCAATGTTTCAAAGCAAACTTGTTGCACTTCGCAATTGCAAGATCCCCTTTGCACGCGCGACATGGATTGACTTTCCGTTCAGAAGGTGGTTGATCATAGGTGTTGTTGAGCTGGACATATTCAGAGAGGAATCGTATGCGCAGCAGGGATCATTCGGCTGACGGTCCCCAATGTGAATCAAGGATTACTTTGCATGGTGCTTGCTGTTTGGTGGGTACATCCGTGTGACAGACTCTTGTTGCACATTCTCTCTTCTTCATGCTAGTTTGAGGCTAGCTTGGAATCTTGATTTCGCGTTTAGTTGAAGACTTCAACACGCGACTGCTTATCTGTACTTTTTCTTTAGTGTGAGAGACCAGCTGGAATACGAGGTTGCCAACTGATCCCGGAGGTGCCCCCAGCTTTATGTCGTCCTTTCATCTGGGCCCTCATTTGGACCCCAAACTGAAACCCCTCAAGGCCAACTCAAGCTTGTTTTTCTGTGTCTCCCATGTTTGGAGCCCAAGAAGTGAGACCAGTGGATATGTCTCATAGGAATCGGAACCCAAAGCGCTTGGGTTTCCAAAACGGTTCCCCTGTGCCACCCCCAAAACGGGCGCCCGGTGGGGTCCACTGGGCCCGGACCTTTGCATCTCGAGGTCAAGGCCTTTGTCACCTCCTTGGGTCGGAGCCCAGGATGTTTTTCGGAACGCGGCGTGTGATTTGCTTTTATTGGTTGGGAGGGCAAGCCCCGACTAAAATAGACTACGAAAAACAAAAATGGGTACCAACTTATTCGAGGAGCTAGTTCGTCTGAAGTTTCCATTGAGCACGAACTTGGTTGTTCATAGCGAATCGGTATTTTTTCGACTTTTGGTGTATCCTTTTGGTCAAGGAGCAAAGGTTTAAGCAGATTCTGGCTCTTGACATTTGGAAGAAACTAATTATGAAAGGACGTATTGGCACAATGTTGGGTCGGCATCAAGCATTTTTTTTGATTTGCTGTTGGGGTTGGTGAGGGATGTCTTCAATCAATGCTTTCCCTGGTAGAACAAATGTTTCGATCACTGGCAAAGCAAGGGCGAGTTCCCAGTTGTCCTGGCCGTGAAAGCATGGACGATCTAACCTAAGGTCCAGTGGCTAATTTTGATACTGGCCCTACAGGGGTGTTTCTCAAACTTAGGGACCTCCGAGTGGTTGGTTTTCTTTGGTTTCCAATTCAATGCCAACTAACAGGGGTCTGAATCCTATTTTGAGAAACCCCTACCTTTTTCCCGAATTGTTTGGAGTTCCGACTAGCCCAGAAGGTCCAAGATTGAGGGAAAGTACCTTGTTTTTTTTTGGGGGGGGCGGAGGGTTAAAGAGGAAATCTACCTCCTTAGAAGGTACTTGGACCAACTGGGCTGGTTTTGGCAAACTCTAATTTAGGATTGACCAGCCAACATGTGGGTGCATCTTTTGTTGATGGCACCTTTTTGTTTGGCGGTTTTAAGGGAACACCAAGACAAAAACACTAGATAAAGCACTTCTTCTGTTTTTTTTGGGGGGGCAGGGGGGCCCCAACACAGAATGTTGAGAAGTAGTCCCTAAGCTGCAATGGCTTCTCTTGCTGTGGATCTGAATCAGCAATTATTAGTGGTCTCAGAATGGCAGACCCCCAACGAAAGGTGGACACCGACCCCAAAATAATCCACGCCCGAAATAGGCACACCCGCATGGCTTGATGCTTGCCCTTAACGATGAAGCCACAGTCCTTGGACAGGGCTCCTTAAAAGATACATCTTGCCACCATTTGAAACACGGTGCTTTTTCACCACCAAAATACAGTTGGAAGCCGCCATGTGCAAGTTGCCATGTTCAGGCGTATGCATCCGGATCCCTGTTCCAAGCATTCAAGCCGCATCAGGATCAGGTTTGTCGCATTATGCCAAGTGTCATTCACCAGTTGGAGTGATTGCGGGCTTTGCCGAACTAATTTCACCAGCACACCGCTCAGTGACTGCAGGCAGCAACGAGGTTTTGGTTTGCTCCAAGGACTCTACGACTTCGGCCCGCTGCTGGCCGGGCGGGATCCCAACTCCCGCACCCCGGCGCCGGCGCCGCCGCCGCCTTTGGCGCGGGGGCCGAGGGAGGTGGGGGGGCGCTGGGGCAGGCTGGCGTCCTGGTGAGCCCGAAAAAACGCAAAAGAAGCATGTGATGGTTGGCTGCGGGAACAAAAGCTGAGGTTGCGGGTAAGGAAAGTTGCAGGCCCCACAACTTGAGCTGCTGAGCTGACAATCCTTTCGCGGTGTCAAAGCACGGACTTGCAACTCGGGGTCTATCGCTCTTGCTCTTTGTTTGTATCTCTGTCTCTCTCTCCCTCTCTGTCCTTGCTCCTTGTCTTGTTGTGCAGCCTTTACTTATGTGTGCACTGCCTTTGTTGGTTTGTGTATCTTGTTTTGTCTTCCTATGGTGTTTTGATTGTTGTTTTTGATTCATGTTTCCCTACGTGATGTGTTGTTTTATCGGTCTCTATATCTCTTCTTCCTTATCTCCAAGTCCCGTCCATGGCTCTTGACAGTTGAGCATGAGGCCTGGCAAAGTGCAGGTGCAATGGTATCAGCGTTTACCAGACCGAAAGAGTGAGGACCTCAATGTGGAGACAATCCCCCACTGCACTGTGTCGCATGGAAGGGGTGGCAAGGCTCAGCCTGCTGCACACCATGAAACAAGGAATGGTAATTAACAATGCTCGTCTCGGGGTGACTCAGCAGAATTGCAGAACCACCTTCTTGCTATACCATACTGTTGCAGTTTGCTCTGAAGTGTTTAACGCTTTTGTTTGCCTCGACAGGGCTGATGTATCGGCCCGGTTAACATGCTGACTCTGCTGACTTCAGTGATTCAGAGGCGGACATCTATTGCCCCACCACGAAACTCAGGAGTATCTGCCAACACGTGTTTAGCACTGATAATAACTTGCATTTGACGGACTTCCCAACCAAACTCGCTGGTTCTTGGCTGATTGCGCAACTTCTTCCTGATTGTTGACCGCATCAAGACCACGCGCAAGTGTGCTCTAACGATTGTCCGATAGACCTGGATCGAACCATTGTAGATAAGTGGTCTGACTTGTTGTTTTTTCCCAAAGAAAACCAAAAGGACATGCTTGGTTTTTTTTCCCAAGGAAACCTCTGACTTGTTTGTGATTCTTCCAAGGAAGCCCAAAAGGACATCAGGGCCATCTTGTTTTGTTTGAGAGGTCCATTCCTGTGCAAGTGGTCTGACTTGTTGTTTGTGACTTTTCCAGGAAGTCACAAAGACATCAGGGTTATCTTGTTTTTTTTAGAGGTGGAAAGAGGTGGCATTGCTGGTGGTAGTTCGGCGGCTCGCAGCCATGGCGCACTCGCGGCTTCTGCTGAGCAGTGGCTTGCAGATGCACGTGGTGCAGCTGCCAGCAGTGGGGGAAGGACAGCTGAAAGAAGCGTCCAGGCAACCACTTCATCTCGAAAACGTGGATTTCCGGAAACCGTTTTTATCGTGATGTCTGTGGAAAGCTTGGGTTTGAGGCGTTTTTTGGTTTTGCAGGCATGCTGGGTGCTCATGTTTGCGGAAACTGGGGTTTTAGTAAGCCACGCTGTTTTATCGGTACACTTATGTTGGAAGCTGGGGTTTAAGTTGCCAGTTCCGAGGATTCTATGGGAATGCCCTTCAAAGTGACAAAAAAGAAGAAAAGAACAAGTTTTGGGTTGGGAAGACTGGATATGGAATTGGACCAGAAACTCACTCCAAACTCAACCCCAATTATTGGAGGGCTCATGCAGCTTTCAGATCAAGCCCTAGGCAACCAATTCGGTGTTCCTTTTGTTTTTTTTGAAGGGAGGTTCACTTGGTTACCTATACTCACGTAACCCTGAATTGGTGGATTGGTGGTTCGGGGTTTGAACGGGTCGATTCTTGTAGAAGATACATGAGAAACCCGTCTCCGTAACCACCAAATCACTAATCCAAACCACCAATTGGAGGGAAGCTGACAAAAAAGGGGAAATGGAATCACTGGGGTTGGCTTCCTCTGGGTTTCCCAGAAACCAATCGGACCGAAACAGGTTCAACCTCTTTGGCCACCTTTCTCTTTCGCGCGCGAAACGAACCGCGCTTCTCAAATTGAAGCGCAATTTTGGACCCGCGGTGACAAAAGACACGGACCTCCTCCAGTGTAGATCCCTCGTCTTTTTGCCGAGGGGGTTCTTTGCTTGCCCGGGATGTAGTTGCGTGCGCGCCGCGGCGCAGATTTTATTTTGGAGATCCGAGTCAAGAAGCCGTGTCTTCTCTTTTCGGGGACCCCCGAAATGGTGGTACCGTTGTACTTTTATTTTCCCTTTAAGCCCACCAACAGGCGGGTCCCCCAAAAGCAGGAACCACACCCGAGCCCTGCGCAGCTCGCGGAAACGCATCGATCACGTCGATCTCGTTTCTCCCGCAGCCCGCGGCACGGTGCTCTGCCTGCACGGCTTTCCGGACACCTGGTTCGGCTGGCGCCACCAGATGCCCGCCTTCTCCCAACGAGGCGGACGCAGATATTCGCGGATGCGGAGCCCCACGCGGTCGGTCTACGGTGGGGTTTTGGGCCTGTCTGTTTGAGGGTACTGGTACCCCGTCTTTGGGTGGTTGTAAAGGGACGCCACAAGGAACATCCCCCATTTTGGAGGGTCCAACCGAGTCCAACCTCAAAAGCAGACACCCATGTGGGATGTCAAAGGGAACTTAATTGTGTTGAGAAGTACCCCGCCCATTCTAAATGAATAGCCCCATGTATTATTTGGCTGGCTTTCACGTATGACATATGAATGCAAGCAGAGGAGCTATGCGCAGCTATCTTGCCACGAACCAATGAGCAAAAGGAGCAAAGTGGAGGAGCACCTGCCACTTTGACTTCTCTTTTGGGAAGGATCAACCATTGCAAGTCATGGCCAGCTAACAGTGTATTTTTCTTTACATAACACAAGCAATCCTTTGGTGAAATATGATGACCGTTGCTGGCACTTGTGCCGTGGTTACAAGGCTGCTGTACATTGGCTTGGTTGGGATGGTCATCGACCTCTTAGTGGGGAATTTCAACAACCATTGTAAGAGTTTGCTTTTTCTGCTACCATAACCCACGGTTGCCTGGTTTTGACCATGACACACGTGGCCCGAGACACGTTTATACATAATGATCTATAACTGGGTCTTTGGATTTTCGGGCAGCTTGACGAGGTGGCTCTGTGTTGATTCAGATTCTTCGAAGCGAGAGGGATCACGTTTGTTTCCTGAAAGAAGTGAGCGGTTTCATGTCTGACTCTGAATTCCGGCCCGGAACGCCGGAACGGTCCGCTCCGGGCCTCACAAAGTTAAAGTATCACCCTACGTCGGCATGAGTGAAAGCTGGCATATTGCCAGCCAAGAGTGGTCCATCCCCCAGACGAACATGAAAGCTCCCAAGACCCCGAAATGAAAGACTTGGTTCCGTTTGAAGAGGTCATTTGAGGGAGCCTATATTAGTCTAAAGGAGTGTATGGCATCATTTGGGATTCTTGGCAGCCAAATGATTGAGCAGCTGCCCGAGGAGCCTTTCACGGCGCTCTGCTTCGTATTACTTATCATTTCAACAACTAAATGTAACAATTCAGGCATTCTCTGTCTACAAGGCCTTATAAAGGACACTGTGGTTATCACAGAGCAAGCGTGCATGCAGGCCAAGAATATCTGCGACTTCCGAAACCAAGCAATATGTGACAGGGAAGTTTGGCGACTGGGTATGTCTTTTAGTGGCTCCCCCAAATGGTCCCTTTAAACCCAACGAAAAAGGGGCACCCCCAAACAAAGAGACAGACCCAACTACTCAAGCTGCGGGTTTCTGCTGGCGACTGTCCCGAATTTGTCCTGTTAATGTCAGGCTGGCACGTGGTGGTGCCTGACCTCCGGGGTTATGGCGAGACGGAGGTGCCCAAAGAGTCCCCCGCGCAGTACCAAATGAAGGCTCGGCCCAGCATAGGAATCATCACTGTTCTTGGCGCACGTGTTTTGTTTGCTTTTGTATTTTTGGGTTCTATTCATTTTTGGTTGGGGCTGAGAGAAACAATGTTTTTTGCACAGTAGGTCTGAGACTTTTGGCTTGTGTGGTGCCCTTCTTGCCCATGCAAGGGCGAAAGTAGATGGCATCACTGTCTTTATGTCGGCAAGTACAGTAGTTGATGGGTTCTGCAGTGACTCCTGCCACCTTCGCCCAGCTTCACCTGGACTCTGTTGTGATAGCGATCAAAGATAGTCATGGATCTACCCGTTGACCCCGAAGAGTAGACGGCAGAACTAGGGTCTTCCCAGGGATCCGGATCTCAAGACGAGGAGCAACCATGCATTTGAGCCACAAACTGTAACACGCGCTCTAGGGGTACACCGAGCCCGTGGTGAAGGTCCCTTGGGGGTTGCTCGCCCTAGGTGCCTGGTGGAAGATCAGAAGGCTGTGCTTGAATGCCCAGTTGGTTTTTGATTTGCCTGCCCAGATGCATGGCTGTGTGTATGTGTTCCCTTCTAGCTTTCGCTGAGGGGGGAACCCCCTACGTTTTTGGTGAGATCTGTCCCATCCCAAACCTTATGCGGGCGAAATTTGCCATTCCTCTGTAGTGTTTGGTGTGGCATCTCTTGTGTCAGAGGGCTTTTACCTCAATTGAGCACATTAAATGTCACGCCTATTCTTGTTCCGGCAAAAGGTTCATAGGATGTCCGCTGCGCCTCTGACATCATTGTACCTGGCAGCGACCTTCAAGGTTCGCAGCAAGTGCCCAGGCTTCCTTAGTGAGGGAAGAAGCAAGGGCGCAGCTCACTGTGCAGGGTCTCCTTTTTACCTCAGGTTCATGACACATCGCTCAAAAGATTCTGTCAGCCGAGGGGTCGCCAGCGAATCCTTTGCCAGGAGCTGTGCGAGGATTTGCTGGGCTTGTTGGAGGCGCTACTGCTACGGCGCCCCCTGGCAATGATGGAGCGGGGCTGGCGCAGAGGTTTGTCTTATCTCTCCTTTTCGGTGTCTTGTTGAAGATATCTGCTTTGGGCTGTTCATTGGAAAAGCATCAGAAAGCGACCTATGTATTCTACTTATGGCTTCCCCGTTTTGAGACACCATAGTTCCCAGAAGTTGGAAAACAGTCGCTTCTAAAGAATGAGACACATTCAAGGCAACTTAGAGTTGGCACTGGGGCTGGCGAAGAGCAGGTTGATTCTAACTGGGCTAGCGGTTAGTTTTTTCTTGAACGGTGAACCCAGAGTCGGATGAGGCGCTAGGGACACAGGGTGGCCATGAAAAGTTGCGATCCGCTGGCAGTGTACAATGAAGCTAAGACTGGACGTTCAACAAAGGGAAATTGATGGAACAAAAACCACAAAAGGATATCCTCAAGCAAAGACCGACCACCAGCCATCCTCATATTTTCCCCAAAACACAGATACCCATGTGGTATCCTCACAAAACTCACCGAAACCAGTGGCGTGTCGAGTTTTGACGGTACCCCATTTTTGTTGTGGGGGTTTAAGTTGGGAAGCCAAAGAAAAAACCGTTTGCGATCATTTTGGGGGTCCCAAGCCTAAGAAACAACACTTCATTGTGGTTTGCATGTTGTTTAGGTTTTGGGTTCTGTTCGTTTTTAGAAGGGGGCTGCAACAGCAACCACCGTTTTTTTTGCAAGCCCATGCCAAGGGTTGGAGCTCACTTCTCCTGAGTTCCTGGGCTTGAAAAACACTTTTCGCCCACCAAAATGGGATCCCAAAACGGCTTTGACCCAGGGCCAGGTGTCCTTTTTCGTTGGGTTTGCTTCAAAAATAGATGGCGACTCCTGGTTTACCTGGTGGTTTTTACTCATCTACCAGGGCTAATTCGATGGGTTTTTCCCCTGGAGGCGTGGTGGTCTTGGGCCACGACTGGGGCGGCAGCTTGGCCTGGACCTTCGCGCTACAGTTCCCACAGCGAGTCACGGCGGTGGGGGCGGTGTGTACGCCCTTCTTCCCCAACAACCCGGCCAAGAACCCCTGGCGCCTGGGAACTGTGAGTTCGAAAAAAGCTGCCGGCCCAGAGTTCGGAGGTTCGTGTGGTGCTTATTCTCAGTAGGACGTGCTAGGTGCCCCAGCCAGTCGTGCCCTTTCTCACCCGTTTCTTTTTTGGTTGGGAGGGTTCCCCTACTCAAATAGACTGCAGAAAAAAGGGGGCGCTCATTCTAACCTCTCTGCTGGACCTAGGATGTGAGTTGGTCGGAGAAAAGTTGCCGGCCCGGCATTCGACGGTTCGTGCGTTGCTGATTATCGTCATGATTAGAACGACCTATTGCTTCGTTTTTTTTTTTGTCCAGCGCTCTTGAGATTGTTTGTTCCATTCCATTGTCCGGTCACTTTGTGAGTGGTTTAAGGTGGGTCTAGGGCTCGCTTAGGGTTTCAGGGGGGTTGGGGGTGGGGGGTGGGCTTGGGGCCTTCAGGGTTGGCTTGGGGTGGTTTAGAGTGCGTTTGAGGTGGGTTTAGGGTGGGCTCAGGGTGGGCTTAAAGTGCGTTTCGGGAGCATTTCGGGTGGGTTTGGGGTGGGTTTGGGGTGGGTTTAGGGTGGTTTGGGGTTTGGGGGATCAGGGTTGCCTTAGGTTGGTTTAGGGTGGCAGGGTTTGATGGAGTTTGGGTTGGCGTAAGGTTGGTTTAGTTAAGGATTAAGGTGGGTTAAGGTGAGTTTAGTATGGTTCCGGTTGTTTAGGGTGGGTTCAGGTTGGTTGGGTTTAGGGTTGACGGGGTTCAAGGTCGGTCCAAGTAAGGTTTGGGTAGGTTTAGGGGTTTAGTTGGGAGGTTTAGCATGGGTTTGGGGGGGCAAGTTACAGGCTTAGGGTAAGTTTAGGACGGGTCGGGGTTTCCGTCATCCAGGACGTCCTTAGTGCATGAATCGCCACCTCGAGAATCCTTGGTGGGTGCCTTGGTGAAACAGGACAGGAGAGCGAAAGCAGCTGCTGAAGGAGCTGAGTGACAGCCATCTTGGTGGGTTTAGGTTCAGGGTGCGTTGGGGGTTGGTTTAGGGTGGGTGTAGGGTGGTTTAGGGTGGGTTTAGGGGCTCAGGGTTGCTTAGAGTTGGTTTAGGGTTAGCTTAGGCTGGTCACAGGATTGGTTCAGGGTGGGTTCAGATGGAGTTTGGGTTGGTTGGGTTGGTTGAAGTTGGGAATAAAGGCGGGTTTGCGTGGTTTCTGTTTTTTAGGGTGTGGATTTAGGTTGGATATAGGGTTCAAGGTATGTTCAAGGTTTGTCTAAGGTATGTTTAGGGTAGGTTAAGGGTGAGGCCATGGTGGGTTGAAGGTGGGTTTAGGGTTTGTTTAGCGCAGGCTTGAGGTAGTTTGCGGTGGGTTTAGGGTAGGTGCAAGGTGGGTCGGGGCAGGTGTAGAGTAGGTGGTTTGATGTTGAGGGTATACGGGGGGGTTTAAGGGTGCTTCCTCGCTCGCTCGCTAGCTCGCTCGCTTGCTCGCTTGCTTGCTTGCTTGCTTGCTTGCTTGCTTGCTTGCTTGTTCTTGCTTGTTCTTGCTTGTTCTTGCTTGTTCTTGCTTGTTCTTGCTTGTTCTTGCTGGCTGGCTGGCTGGCTGGCTTGCTTGCTTGCTTGCTTGCTTGCTTGCTTGCTTGCTTGCTTGCTTGCTTGCTTGCCTGCCCAGGGGACTGGAAACAATTCCCAATCCACCGGGGAAAAATCCTCAAATACTTTGGCACCCTTAGTATAATGATTGTTTTTGTGTTCCTTGGCTTTCCTTAGACAGACCCAAGAGCCAGACGCCCCAGTCAACTTGGAAAGTGAGGGCGGGAGGGAGGGAATTCAACGGGAAGTTCATGGACTATTGCATTTGTTGACCTTTGTGGGGGGGGGGGGGGGCGGGGGGCAAACATGGTGGTCGGGTTTTGCTTTGTTTACACCCAAGAACCCCTGGCGCCCCAGACATCGCCAAATTTAGTCGTGATTGTAAGAACCTACTGTTAGCCTTGATTTAGTCCTGTTTGTGAGGCCCCTAAGGATGTGTTCAACAACTCAGGCACAGCATGCGCGAGAAGCCGGGGCGTTTTGACTACCAGATGTGGTTCCAGAACGCTGAGGCGGAGGCAGGCGGGCAAACCCGCAACCCCTTTTGGGGTTCCCATATTCCGTTTTTGATTTCTTAAGCATCACCCGTTTGAGGTGATATCTCCTGGGTAGGGGTGATGTTCTCAGAAAATTTATTGGGAACCATGTCTGCAGTTGCTCTTCCAATATAACCAAGCAAGTCTGTCCGTGTTTCCTCGCTGGCCGCCGGGCTGATGGGAGGTCTGAAGTAACATGTCGGTATCTTCAAAGGGACATCGGCATCTTCCCGTGGGAACGGGAACTGTTTTCGCGGGTATCCCTTCGCAACCCGCTGGTAACCCGAACTGGGACTTCACGCATGGTGGGTGGGGGTTGGGGGTGGGGGGTGGGGGTGGGGGCTGGGTTTGACGCTCACATGACCCCACAGTTTGCTCGTTTGCTTTCCCATGTTCACGACTTGGCGAGTCATGTATAGTAAAGCTCTTGAAACTCCAAGTAAGCTCCAACAAACAGGTTCTCGCCGGCATCAGATGAACATATTTGTTTGTTGTGACTGCACATTTGGGGTGCCCCAAAACCTTGGGGCCAATGCTGCTGCCTGTGGGCAACATTGCTTGGTTGGCGTCTGAGACAAGTGGCTTGGACCGGCCTGGCCCAAGCAGTTACACCTTGGAGGGATGTGCCAATCCGAGGTTTTGGTGCTTTCTGGGGCAGTGTTGAGACGTGGTGCATTGAGACAAGGCTGCGTTGGAGACAATCGAGTTCGCCTGTTGTGCTTTGAGTCTGGTTGTTTGTCTCATGCGTAGCTACGGAATGCAGAGGTCAGGTGTTGTCGCATTCGATTGGTGTTTCTCCCGCCAGTGATGAGTCACACGCCAGTGAGTCGCCAAGCGCGACGTCGGCCCATGCGAACAGTTCCTGTTCTTGTCTAGCCTTTTGATTTCCTCGAAACCGGGAGTGTCCGACCCCGAGAGAAGCAGCAATTTTTGGCCAAGGGTTCTTGCACGACATCGTGGGCGGCATGAAAGACGGGATTTCCTAAGCAGATCAAGCGGAGGAAATGCATATTCCGACGTGTTCCTTCGGAACACTGGCATTCTGATTTTAACTCAAGCGAGGACACAGGGATCCTGCGAATTCCAAGTTGTTTGAGCCTCTGGTTACCGGGACGTTCATTGGAACCCACCCGCTGGATCAACCTTTGATTTGGGGCTGTCAACTTTTTTGGGACATCCAGTGACTCCGGACAGCCATGACCTTCGATTCTTAGCCGGTCATGACCTTCAGGCTGAGCTGTCGGAGGATCCGGAATACACGGTGAAGTGCATCATCAGGCTCGCGGATCTCTGAAGCTTCGGTGTGTTTGTGTTGTAGTTACTCGTTTTCGGCTGGGCTTGAAGGGAAACCAACAGGATGGTCATCGTTTCTTTTGGTTGCCCTATTCAAACACATACCCATAAATCTGAAGGTCATGATGGCTGGACACCAGTGACACACCATGGGCCCCATGGGTGAACGTACAACACATGTTGGCACCCGGAGAATGGCCATGTTCAAGACTTGTGGGTATGCTCATTGACCCCCGTCGGGATCCTAAGAAGGACACCATGACCATGGCCGTATTAATATGGGTGTGTATGTGTTTGGGGAATCCACTTTTGGTTGGTTTGCAAAGGGAACAGAAGCATTTAAGGGGTCCCCCATTTCAAGACACACCCATATTAGGCACATCTCCTCCAGAGCCTCCAGTTTTCACACACGAACCGCCCAACGCAGTTCGCCGGGGGGTGGGAATGGTTGTCTGTTTCGACCACTTGATACCAGTGAACCAGGGACCACCTTGGGGTGAAGAATGACTGTCCTGGCAGATACTTAGGATACATTTTTCATGTTACCAGTGACTCAAAGTGAAGCAAACCATAGACTATACATTCTTCAGCTGGGCCTAAGTCTAATCATGTGTGCTACAGAAGCTCTTTTGGTGGTATCACAAAAGTTGCAATGCCCACCGCTCCGTGCACTTTCAGCTTGAGAGCCTTCATGGCTACGAGCCACGGGTTGGTTTTTAAATAGAGGCACCCCCAAGATCAGTGGTTTCAATCCCCGAAAAGGGAACCTAGCAAAACCTGTAAGTTGAGCCAAGGGAACCCTTTGGGAAACCCGAAATGTGCCGGCCACTTGCAATGCCGTCCAACTGCTCCAACCCCAAGCCCCCGTATTTTTTTGCCAACCGCTCCATTCCGATCCAACTGTCTCACGGGCGTGTTACCTCCAACCGCGAATCCGACGTCCTTTTTGCCGCTCGGAGCTCCATGGTGTGAAGCCGTTTCATCGGCACGCTTCGTCGGAAACTCGTAGGGTGCTCGTGCGGTGCTCGTGCCGTTCTGTTGAGATACGCCGCAAAGCCGTGCGTGTTTGTGGTAGAAGGTTAGACCTGTCTTGCTGGAATGATGGAGTCAGGATGGGTGTCGCAAGCATGAGACTCGCGGCCATGTTGGAATCCGAAGCTTGAAGTGAACTTGCGGTTGAGTTCCCTTCCGGGAAACCAAATGGAGCCTACCCGCCGCTTGAGGGTTGGCGTACAGACCCCATGCCTTTGATTGACACCTCTAGCCATGAGATTGCCCGCGATTGCCCGCGACCTCCCGCAGGGGCACAGGCGAGAAGGAGGCGTGATCGATTCGGAAGCGACCGCTCATTCGCTTCTCATTCAGCTTCCACTAACGCTGAACAAAGCTGAGTTGGCTGTAAGGGATTCCTTTTCAACCGACCTGCCGGAAAATTGCGTGGCCCCAATGGCCTTGTCCGCAGCAAGGTGGCCAAAGGACCACACGTCTTGTCAAGCAAAAGGACCACCTTGGTTGGCTTCGAATTTCCTTTTTTTTCCCTGGCTTCCAAAGTTTCAAAGGTTGGCAGAAACGAGGTCCAAGCCAACCTGTTTCTATTGGTGGCCCTGCAGAAAGTTCCCTCGAAGCTTCCAAACCCAGCCACAGAGATGTGGAACGCCTTCCAAGACGCTCCCCTTTCTCACCCCTTTTTTGGTTGGGAGGGTTTCCCTACTAAAATAGACGACTGAACCAAAGAAGACAATCGGGTACCAACTTATTCGAACCTCCCCACTTGCCCAGTGGCGCCTTTTTTGTTGGAAGGGTTCCCCTTCAAACTCAACCCCACTGGGCATCTGAGATTGATATTCACAAGACTGGGGTTGATTAAGCTGGGGTCAGTAGGAAATTGCGACAAGGCGCCAAGTTCGGCCACCAAATCTACAACCGCCTGCACCACCTAAGAAACCCCTGAATTGATGATTCCCCTGTAAATACCAACAAACAATGGCTTCCCATGGTTTCAAAGTGGAACAGGAATTTGTCCATCCACAGTAGGTCCTTCAAACTCTGGAGCCTTGCTGAGGCCTCCACCTTCAACGAGGCCTTTGCCTCGCCCACGGAGAGAGGCGGCCTGTTGAAGGGCCTCCCGCCCAAGGACCCGCTGTTGGGGGTTTGGGCCAAGGGCGCGCTTGTACCCTCCATTTGCTGAAGACTACTTCTTTATTTTTTATTTTCCCTTGTTGGGTTTGAAAGGAATTCATCACTACTGGAAATAGTTTTTTTTTTTTTCCTGGGGCCTTAACCAAATGGAAGGTACTGAGCAAGCTCCATGTGGCTGTGGGTCAAAACCAATGGTATCCCATTTTGGGGTAGGTGCACCACCCATTTTGGTCAATTTTAGTGGGGATTGGGATGTTCACTGGGGGGACGAATTGGCTTTTGTCCCATGGCCATGTGGTTTCGCGGGTACTGTCTAAACACCACTCTTGAATTGAAGAGCCTGAAGTTGCTGGTTTTTTTCAGGACCAGAGCGTGGTAACCGGGCTTGGGCACATATGTGTCCAGCGGCTACCCCTTGAGGCCCGTCGTCTGATCGATTTAGACATGGGTCACTTGAAATCGCGTGGGCGGAGAGCCGAAGCGGAGGTGATGGATGTTGGGACTGGGCACTGGTTTCCTGGTAGATGGGGTCACCAAGGTGTCATTGACATCCATTCACCTCTGTAGGACTGATGTGGGGAGTCAACTCTCCGCTCTTGGTTTGCGCTCGGGTCAAGGGCACCAGTTTGGAACCAGCTAGTGCAAAGGAGGTAGAGACCCACCCCTCCCTATGAAAGAGGTAGGGCGAGTGGCGGTTTCACAGGAAAGCCAAGAGGAAGACGATTTCAAGAGAAAGCCAATGCCTGATACCCTCTCTCCCGCTAACATAGCACCTATTGGAGGGTACCTGGAAGATCAATTTGCTCCTGAAGGGACTCTCTGTGAGGTGCCATGTTAGTTGGAGGGAGGGTATGTTGAACAGAAACGCCCGACGCCGAAGAAACCAATGGGAGCCGTCAGGAGCTTTGCCCCCGCTCCGAGATTCTCAGCGAGGAGGAGCTGAGAGCCTTATCTTCCAAGCGACAGACGAAAGTTAAAAGGAGCATCCCCACCCCGATATACCTTCCTCAAATGCTTAACCCCTTGTGGCTTCAGGGAATGCAGTGGGGGTTTCATTCCTCTGGTGGGGATAAAAGAACATTCCTGTTCTCATGTCGCTCCTTTGTTCCGGCTTCTTTGGGCCACAAGGAACACTGGGCTTGGCTCAAACCGGTGTATATACTCCCTTGTGGATGGTCTTAAATGGGAAGCACAAGGAAAAAACACATTCAGGGGTCTCTACCCCCTTGTGGACGGTCTCAAGTGGCAAAGCTCAGGTCCCCTACGCTGAGTTTCTCACCCATCTGAGGATACTATGCCGCCCAATTCCGGCGGTCTGGCTTCTTCGGTGGGCTCAGCTGGTATCGCAACGTGGAGCGCGGCTCGGCCAAAAAGCTGTCCGCGGCGCGGATCGGCCAAAAACTTTGCCCAGATTTGTTCTTTGTTGTGCGCCTCCATGTGGATGGTTGCGCAATCCTCTTAGGCACCACCGTTCAGAGACCCTGGAGGGACTCAATTCCCCTGTAAGTACCAACGAACAATGGCTCCAACCATGGTTTCAAAGTGGTGCGAAATGGATTTCGCCACCATCCACAGTACCTCCAGGTCCCCAATTTCTGAGACTGGCCAGCCGGTTTTTGGCTTTGTTGCCACGAGGCAATTGGCAGTGGATGCGCTCCACGGCGGGTCAGAAGATCCAGCAGGCGGCCTTCATCCTCACCGCGGGGCGAGACCCCACGCTGCGCGCCTCCATGGTGGATAGCCTCAAGATGAAGGCGACATTGGGAGAAGAATTGGCTTCAGCAGGGCTCCTTGAAAGATACAGTTTGCAACCATTTGAAACATGGCTTTTTCCAAAATAAAGGGAAACCACCATGTACAAGGCAATGTTCAGGTGTATAAGGTAAGGATCCCTGAACAAGGCCCCTAATACCTAAACGGAACCCAAAGTTGTCTTTGAACCATAGGGGAATTCATTGGTTGAAACAGCCAGACCCTGGTATTAGTACCATTTTAAATGGACACCCAAAGGAGTTTGTTCGAACCAGTGGATTGAACATGCTAAAACAAGGCGTTGACCCAACGCTGGTTGGAAGGAGAGTGCATTGAGCGGAAGTTATTGTCGTTGCTTGTTTTGTTGTTGGGTGCAAACGATATTGGTGGTTGTGTGTCACAAAGGATGGGGTGCATTTGGACGTCAAATTCATGGCCATGACAAGCATGAGCTTTTATACAGACCCCACAGCGTAGTTGTCTTCTTGAATGGCAAGGACGTGCTGTTTTGCAAGGAGATGCAGAGCATGGGTCCGGCCCGCGTGCTGTGTTGAGTTGCCCGCATGATATTGTTGAACGTCGCATGTGGTGTTCACCAAAACAGCCCAAGACATCAGCGTGAGTGAAACTGAAATACAGTGCATAAACAAAACACATGAAGCCCTACTAGGACAAGCGACCTGCTTCCATTGGCGTGGATATTTTGTCCATCAGTATGGCCAGCCTTGGTCAGAAGGGAAGGAGGGATTATTCGAAACTGAACCGCCAATGGTACTCGGCTGCCTTGGTTCTCAGCGGCCTCAGGCATCCTCTGGGGGGGTATCTACTTCCGGTTCATTCCCAAACCCCCTGCTGAGAAGCAAGCATCATATGGCCGGGTCGTCACCATGCTTGTCCTGTTGGTTTCCCGTTAAAATCACCCAAAAACGACGGTACCCAAAAACAAACGGACAGCCCCCCATTTGGCCATGAATTTTAATAGGGAACCCCCTGAAAAGTAATTGGTGGACATGAATCCCCACCTAAATGATGTCCACCAAAGGGCCCCTTCTTAAACTCATAGCCATGTGAATGATGCGGGCTGGGGGGGGGAGCCCCAAAAGGCCCTAAATAAGGCCTTATTAAGGGCTTATTTAGGGCTTACTTGGGCTTTTTTTCTCCCCTTGAAACGTCTGTGAGACCTTCTTTAAAGGACTGGGTGCCGCGGCTGCGGCACGTCCACATCGAGGACGCGGGGCACTGGGTGCTGCAGGAGGCGCCGAAGGAGGCGACGACGCTGATCTGCGAGTGGCGCCCTGGCGACGGGAGAGCGATCGCGGCGATCGCGGCGATCGCGGCGTGAGGCAAGTGAGGCAAGTGAGGCGTGAGGCGGAGAAGTATTTTGGGCTAGGTCCCTCAGTAGTGCCCTTTTACCCTTGTTTGGGGGAGGGTTCCCCTACTAAAATAGACTACCGAAAAATGGTACCTTTATTCTGACCTCTCTACTGGAGGACCTAAGTGCGGGAGTGGTTTCGAATAGGCCAACCGCGGTGTTGGTTCACTTCACTGTTCTTGTCAAGTTGTTGTTGATTTTGTACTTTTGGTGGGTCTGTTCATGTTTAGACGTTGTAGGTTGTTGGTACCCTACTCGGTGGATCCCAGGAAAGCCCTTGTAGTAGCTTCACTGTTCTTGGATCAAGTTTTGGTTGGTTCAATTCATGTTTAGGTTTGGGGGCTGCAAACAGAAGTGTTTTGCTACCATACCAAGGATTGAAGATTTTGGGGAGTGGTTCAACTCACTCCCTGGGTTCCGTGACTCAGAGCTTTCAGTCACTTGTTGGGGTTCAACCATTTTAGTGATACACCCAAAGCTTGGTTACTTGTTTGGGCTTGTTTACTCAAGAAGTGAGTCAAAGGGAAAACAACAGGAACACCATTATGTTGTGTTGCATGTTCGGAGCCCATCTACGGGCACCCCGGATGAAAAAAGCCATCCTACCAAAAAGGGGAGAGGGGTGTCACCCACAAAAGTGATTTCCCACGAAAAGGGATCTACTAATCAACCAGGAGTTTATTGATAGAAATCAGGAAGAACACTGTTGCTGGGAGTCCCTTAATTATTTCGACTGCAAAACCTTTGGATCCGTTTCAAATCAGTTTGAATGGACCAATATCAGGAACATCACGCATTTTGGCCCCCGCGTTTTGACACATAACATGTGCCATGCTTAAACCACCCTTGTACTTGGGGTTGGCTGGAATGGTCCTGAGACCCCTAGAGAATGCATTCCTAGGTTTCCTGTTTCAGATGTCAGCTACCACAAAGAGGGAGAGAGCCAGAGAGAGAGAGAGAGAGAGAGAGAGAGAGAGAGAGTGAGACGGTTATGTACCGGTTCGCTGAAGCGTTCTTTGTGTGTTAAGTTCTGGTAAGCAAGCACCCACGTGCCCCTCAAACGCATGGTCTTAGGGTTCCGTCTTTTGCCTGCTGTAAAGGAGTCTCGTGCAAACAAACCCGCCACCAGCACCACATAGCTACGCAAAAGTAGTGCCTTCATTTTGAAGCTATCAACTTGACCAAACAGCTACAGGTCACGGGAACACAACTTGCAAGTTTCTTTCTGCCGCCAGAATCCAAAAAGGTGGTGTCATGGCCGTCTGGAACAAACCTGGTTTTCAAAGATCTGATTCGCAAGAGAACTGGCCGAACACAGAACAAGCTTGTGCTTGGTTGCAACACTGCACCACATTCACCACTGGATGCCTCCGGATGTCTGAATTGCTGTGAAGAATGACTCAGAATGACCTTGATTGGACCGCGCATCCTGGGAGTCTGCACAGTTTCGACCCTGGAAATAGGGTTAAGAAATTCTATTGAGGAAGCCATGACCATGCAACGATTATTAGTCCAAGTACTTCTTGATATAAAGTATACTATTCCAGGGGCACAGCCATGGGGGAAAAAACAAGGGAGGAAAACAACAAAAAAAACAATTGAGCTTGGATTGATGGGATGTTTTGTGCATCAACCCGAGCTGAAAATGACCAGGGTCCACGGTTTCTATTCCCCGGATGACCCACCGGTGCTTCAGGGGCCCGGGGCAGCGGATCGTCCGCCAGAAGGAAAGCCGCCATGCGGCCGTGGGGAAAAATGCCACCGGCATCCGTGTTTTTTTTGGGTTGGTTGACTTGAAAGGGGAACCCAGCAAGGATCGAACCTGGCCATGGGTCAAAATCAAGATCCAAAATTCAGTACCCCCCAGTGAACATCCGATTCGAGCCAAGCAGTAAAACAGGTTCTAAAATGGGTGGTGCAGCTACCCTAAAATGGTACCATTGGTTTTGACCCACAGCAGATGTTCGTTCGCTCACACCCCTTTTGACGCCCCCCCCCCCACCCGCCGGAGGCTGGACCACCTGCCGTCCGAGTCGGCGACTATGGCGCGTCTTTGAGGGGCAAAAAGGCTGCCAGCCGCGCCATGCCGGGCCTTGGCCGGCCAATGATCAGACACCAGCAACCCCTGGTCCCATATTTAGACAAGAAGTAAAGGGAGGTATTCAAGTTTTAACATATTAAAACAAGCAAGCACCCAAGGCTGACGGGTTTTGGACGACTACTTTCCTTTTTTGAAGACCCCCTATTCAGCTCCATGATTGTTAGAGAGAGGGTGAATATGATATAAAGCGAGCAAGCCAGCCACGTCCAACCATGTCCAACCGCAAGTGACCGTGGTAAGTTGCCGTAAATCTTGGGTCGCCAACTTGCCCTGCTTGCAATGCTGAGTTGGCTTTGAGAGTAGGTGGGTCACATGAGGGACCTTCAAGAGCGTCCTGCCTCACCCCTCAAGGCCGGAAGGAGCTAAAAGTTACAAGGAGATGAAAAAGGGTCCTGATTTGGACCCAGCCAATCAAGAAAAGCAAGTTGGGCACGATTTGAGCAGTGGGAGCAAGTATATGTTTTATTTGGATCGCCCTGGACACATCCAAGTCCACATAAATACACCGGACGCTGTATACATGGTGGCTTTGGCTTCTTTCTTATCCCATTTCCGAAAAGCAACGTTTCACCCTTACACCGTGCCAAGGTATTAGGAGCAACCCTGATTGCCTGTGCATATACACTGAACACCCGCCTTCGATCTCAGTCACGGCTTTTGGCTTTCCATTCGATAGCAACGGGCCCGCAAGCTTGGGTAACAACCATATGGGTCTGTGTGTGTGTGTTGTTTTTTGCGACCCCCCCCCAAAAAAAAGAAAAGGATAGACTACAGCGGTGTTTTTGTTGGTTTTCCTATGTTTTCCTTTAAATCCAACCAACAAGGGGAAAAGACAAAAAAATGGTGTGACTGGTTCACGAACCGCCTCACAAGAGTGAATCTTTGCATACCTATAGCGGCAACTTGGAACCTCAAGCTATTTGATGCTGATGCATGCGGCCTAGTCAACTAGATTCGATAAGTCCGATCAAGGCACGTCATGGCTCGAATCGCTTGATCACACGCGTACGCCCAGGTCGACGATCATCCAGCAGAAGATGGGGAAGGCAATGGTTGGTGCTGTATGGGTGAAAGCCAAACGGGGATCGAGGCAGACAGGCAACAAAGAGCCAGACAGATAGGCAGAAAGGCAGTGTTCCGGTACCTTTGGAGGGCCTACTTGGAGAGATGCTCTTTGACGGATGCTGCAGGTGTTGCTTCATGTTGGTGGAGAAGTGATTCGTGTCATTTTTATATGGATATATATATATATATAGTTTTAGGCTTGTGTCGGAGCAACTATGAAAACATGTATGTTTGTGTTGGAGGGAATCCTTGGTCTCTTCTTCTGCAAAAGTCGCATCGGTTGTAGATTCTCCAACTCAGTGAGGATGAAGGAAAACTGAGTAATCCTCATGCCACAGCATGGAAGTCCGCGGGTCTTCCGATTCGGGACCCGGCCGGGTTTGGGTAAAAGTGTTGACAACCAGCCCGGTTTCAACGTGAAACATCTGGGTTGTCTTAAAATCGGGGACCCCCAAATTTGGTGCTTTTCCTGTTGATCTTCTTTTAGAACCCCAAATACTGGAAGTGCTGTGGATGGACGAAATCCTGCACCATCTAAAAAACCCTGGAATGACGATTCCCCTGCAAATACCAGCAAACAATTGTGAGGTTTCAGTTGATTTCAAAGTGGTGCGAACGGATTTCGTCCATCCACGGTATTTCTGTTGAAACGACCTGGCCCTTTAAAGGGCCAGGCCTCCTCGTTTCAACCACCGGTTTTTGCGACCCAAGCCTTCCCGCCTTAGGCGCAGCAGGCCCAGAGCCCAGAGCCGGTCCCCGAAATCGGACGCCAGTCCCGTCTCGTCATTTAGAGTCTGACCTCCCCCCAACCCCCAAAACCCAGCCCCCCCCCAAAAAAAAACAAAAAACAAAGCGGCGTTGCTTTTGATGTTCCGTTCCAGTAGCAGTCTGCTAGTTAGTTTGGGGAGGACATGGGGCCTCCAAAACAACCAGTTGAAACCACGCCAATGTTCGGGATCTGACCAGTTTTCTACACTTGCGGGGGCAAATGCTGGACTTCCTGAAAGTGTTGATACCCCCTGAATTGTCCAAACAAGAGGATCAAAAGGAGACACGCTGGACTTTTTTGTGCAGGGTTGCAGTCCCTTGATTATACCAGGGGCTTGGTTGTGCGTTCTTCATCTTTACGAGCTGCTGCACAGCCTGCAAGTTGTTGGTTTTCGCTCAACCTAGTTGATCTTGCGGGTTTTGCGGCATGTCTTTCCCCGAAACTGAGCGGGTAAAACATCGATGGAGCGTGGTTAGTGCATCCTACTGCTCAGCTTGTCACGGAAGCGGGTCTGGAGGAGTGCTGCATGCGAGAGACTTTCCTTTAGAAATCTTCGGGGGATCCAAGGATACCCTAGGGTCTTCCCCAGAATTAGTTCCCCCTTTATTTTTTGCTTTTTTGGGGTTCCCTTTGTTTTCCACTAGCCAGGTAAGATTGAGGGTTTCTCGTCTCCTGATCCCCTGTGCGTGTGTGTCGCCAGGTTCATTTTGCTTGGGTCATGAATCGAGCCTTTCATTTTCTGAAGGCGAATTTACACATTTCCTTTTTTGTTGGCTTGAACAGGTGACTGGTAAACTGTTTTTGCGGCATTGAAGAGCTTCGTTTCAGGATTCGGATGTTTGTGGCCAAACCCTCCGGATTTCTCGAAGGTTGAGAACATGGTGTGACACTGGTAAGCCCAGTGGATCCTATAGTATGTAACCGGCCATGTTCCTTCTAAACGTTTTGAAAGGGTGCTACCCTTGGTTACCAATTATAGAGGGAAATGGAATCGCTGGTCTGCATGAATAGAAGAGGCCCATGTTGAGAAGCGACGACATGCGGCTGCGGCGCTCGATTTCTCAAGGTGCGGAGGGAGAAGAAAGCTCCCCAGCTGTTCGGCGCTCAGCTTCGCCGATTGCGCAAAAATGCGCGTGCCAACGTTGGCATGTCTGGGTTTTTGGTAGAACGGCTCTGCTCAGATTTAGTGGAATTCGTGGGACTTGTAAATATTAAAAGAGTGTTACGTGTGTTTTGCTTGGTTTCTATTCGTTGCCTCGCACTACCGGGATATCTTCTTGGAATTGATGACGAATCCGCGCACCAAAGCAGTCATTGCTCAAGACCAGTTGGCAATCAATGCGATCAATGGGACGAGCAGCATCATTTTCCAACGAATGACATGGCAGTAGCCGTGAGCTTCCGATCGCTCACGATTTGATGTCCTGCTACAATTGGCAGACAACATGCATAGTTTCACTTTCGAAGTTGATCTCTCATCATGATAGTGGAAAACACAGGGAGAGACCTGCCCATCAATATTCATTGCCCCGACGATGGATAGATATGGGATTGCATAGTGATCTATTGCTCATTGGCGGAAGGACATTGTCGTTCACGAGCCGGTTGGTGCGCTACGCGTTAGAACAATGATGATTTGAAGTCCAAACATATGCTATATTACGGTTAGGGAAAATGGGCAATTAAGCCAATAGGCATGCACTTATTCATGTATCGGATATCTTGTTGTTTGCTTATTCATTGAGTTCTTTCTTTACTACTGTTGGAATAATTCTGACTGCCAATAGTGCGACTCTGATACTGGGGCTGCCCTCTCAATGGTGGTCTGAATTGCACTTTCAGGGTTCAAGCGGGTCCGTTGCCCAGGAAGTTCCATTGCAAGCGCTCAGCCAGCACGTGCTTCGACATGCAGAGAGTCCGCCCCGCCCTGTTTCGGGAGGCATGCGGGAAGATGTCGGGCAGAAGTTCCTCCCTCAACCCTCCCAGGACAAGGATTTCTTGTATAAGGTTTGTGGGGTATTCTTAACAGGTATGTTATGGAGTTCTACTTTGACTTTGCTCTTCTGTTGGTTTGGTTATTTTCCATGCGTTGTTGGTGATTTCCAAGGTCCAAAGCGAGTTTCCTGTTAGTCAACTCAGGAGCCACTGGGGGACCAAAATACAGCTTCATGTGTGCGGGATTTGCGATGTCCTCAACAGAAGCGTGCAAGGTCCGACGTGTTTCGAAGCAAGGCAGTGAGCTTTATGTCATGTGTACTCCCACATTGTGTGTTCACGCGAGCCACGCCCATCCACGCCCCCATCTCTCACTGACCATTTTAGGAGGTGGTTTTGCTACATGGTCTTGTGGCGATTGTAGCAAGGCCTACATAAGTCTTTACAACCATCTCAGTGGAACTAAGGTTCAGTTGGTTTTGGGCGCTTCTCGTTTGCTGATCAGTCGCATCACAAAAGCAATGTTCCTGGAAACACAGATTGAACATCAAGCCATTAGCACAAGGCTGTCTGCTTGCATTCAGTGCTTATTTAGCGAACTCGGATTTAGCAGGAGTAGAGGGCTCTCACAGTCAGGCATTCACGGATTCGATTGTAGCTCTGTTCTGTCGAAGGACTTGTTCCTTGTGCAAAGCATGCTTTGCAAGGAGGGCCTGCCATTGCAGTGTGAGCTGTTTTGCTTCAACTTGGAGTTTCCTGTGGTCCCGAATGAAACAGGGAACCACGACTCTGTTGCGTGCTGCCCTGTTTTCCTTTTTTTGGGTAAGGATTCCCCGTTAAACTCAACCAACAGAAAAGGGTGCCGATCCTTTTTTCCCATGGCCACTGGCATTTGAGTCGCATCGAATGCCAGGTATTCGCATCACCAATGACTCGCTCTTCCCTGCAAATGTGCGATTAGGCGCGCGATCCAGACTGAAAGGGCTCGAGCAGGATCGAAATCGCCACTAAAACCCCAAGAAAAACCGTTTCCTAGCCTGGATGTTCAATACATCCACTGATAGAACAAGTTGATAAATCCGGTCCCCGGAAAGTTCCCCCAAAGCAAACTACAAGTCCTACGGGCACCTGTGCTTCGAGCCTTCGCCCGCAAGGCAGGTATGCGCCATGGACTTCTTGGTGGTTTG